GCTTTTTAACGAGCACAATAGGTGCTCCCCAAGGACTGGAAGAAGGCGAAATAATGTCGGCTTCCAGCATATCGTTAACTGCCGACTGAACATGTTCCTTCTCAGCAGGACTCAGTCGGAAGGGATTTTGCCTGACCGGTGCCGCATCGCCCGTTTCAATGTGGTGGCGTAGCAGGTCCGTGCATCCGATATCATACTTATGTTTACTGAAGACATCCGAAAATTCAATCAGCAACCCGCGCAACGCACCCAACTGTAGCGCTGACAAATCGTCAGAGTCCGCGCACAGCATATCAATCCAATCTAGGTCCTCCTTTGATGGTACGCTATTCGTGGGGCTCGGATCAGCCTGCGCAACCAGCCTCTCCTCCGCAGGGACCCGTGCCGCGTGAGCCAGCACGGTGCCCTGCTGAATGACGGCCGGCCGCGCCCCAGCGTTTAAAACCATGACAAACGGATCCCTGTCTGCCCCAACCAAAGTGTGAGCCACCGATAAATCGAGACCTCCAACAGCCCTATTAGAAGGACCCAAAAGCATGGCCTGTTCCGAGGCCTCCTTCCCCCATGGCTTCCGTAACCGGAGGGGAATCAACATTTGTGAACCCGGGGGCACGTGCACGGTCTGTGTTGCTAACGCCTGAATGGTAGCGCACGCCGTCCGAATTACATTAGGGCTCGTCAAAAATGAAATACGGCGACCCGATGGTAGTTCCATGCAACGCTGATCAATGAGAATTTTGATGGGCATTTTCGCCAAAAAATCAGTGCCCAATAGGCAAGGAACCGCCAGGGAAGATGAAACGAAAACGGGTCCCGACAATTTGATATCACCAATGCAAATGGACGCCCTAATCTGACCGATAATGCCCAACGATCCCCCGTTTGCGGCGTAAAATGGCACATCCACCGGAAGAAGCGGACGACATTGTACCGGGAGAATATTATAAATGAGATCCGAAATAATAGTCGCCGATGCCCCCGTGTCCACTAACACCCTGACCTCGACCCCATCAATCGATCCGGTAACGACGGATGAACCCGCTGAGGCAGCCACTATTCTGTGCCCCAATTCCGACCATTTAATGTCTCCCCGGTCCCGGCCGAACCCCCCTCTCCGAACCGAATCCCCGAACTCTACTCGGCTCTCCCTCGTCGCAACGCGACGACCCATACGTGTCGAGTATGCGGGCCAAGCATGTGAGGTGCCGCGACTTGCCGGGGTTTGCAGTGATGACTTGGGGCCTTGGTCGTCGTCCAGCCGAGGTCCCATGGCGCGCTGACGTGGGGCGCGGCAACCGGAGGCCACGTGGCCACGAAGGCCGCAGTTATAGCAGGTGATGACAGTAGTCGGAGATCTCGGTTGCTCCAGCTTGCGGGCCGCTCGCAGAGGCGAACGACCCCCCGACCTCCAGTCCCCCGCTCGTCCCGCGATGAACGCGTCCTCTCGTGGGCTGACGACTTGGGGCACGGTGTCAACCGGACCCGGAGTTGAGGCCACGGCAGCGTTGCAGACGACCCCCTGCTTTCGTTGAAGGACCTCGTGCGCTTGCATGCTCGTGGCGACCCGTAATGAAGAAATATCGGTGTCGTCGGCCGTGTTGATGGGGACCCCCAGGTCCTGCGCCAACTTGAGCAGCTGCTCCAAAACCATCGCATCTTGGCCCTCCTCGTCCATACGAGGGAACGCGGCGTCAGCGAGAGCGAGCAACGCCGTGCGGTAGGCGAGCACGGTCTCCGTGTCCGCCTTCCGTCTTGCGTAGAAATGATGGCGGCACGCCGAGGGAGGACCGTAGACTTTGGCCATGAGAGCCAGCGCATCCTTGAGCGTGGAGCGGTCCGACCTGCGTGCGGACGTGAAGGCCGCGAGCGCGTTGTCGTCCAGCATGGCAGGCAGTGCCCGCAGTGCCGTAGCGTCGGACCAGGCGGACATCTCTTGATGCGCCAAAAATCTGCGCTGAAATTGGCTCCAATCCCCGCCTTCCGCCTTGAATGCTGACAACGTGGGAAGGCGCTGCTGAAAGATAAAGTCGTCCTCCTCCTCGTGCTTCCTCTCTGCCCCCCCGTCGGTGTGTAAGATGGCGGCCCCAGTGGCGGGTGTGTGATGGCGGTCCGCCGCGCGCGTTGGTGACGTCAGCGGCCGCGCATGGAGAACCGCTGCCACGTGGTGATGGCCGTTCCCGCCAAAAGTTGGAGCGGATGAAATGGCGGGAATCGCCAAATCGTTTTGGCGGGAATCTGCAGGGCGATCCTGTAGCACGTCGGCCGCCGTCCCCGCTCCTCCCGACGAGCTGATCTCCGCCAAGATGGACGCGGCTGCGAGCAGCAGCTCCGCCAGACGGGAGTGTGCCTCGCGAAGCACGGTGTCAGTCCCCCGTCGCTCGACCGGCGCCGTCGGTGGATCCTGCCCCGTGGGCAGCTCCTCTTCCTCACCCCCTGATGCCCGCTGGCCCGCGTCGTCGAGGTTGTCCTCGTGGTCAATCCCGTGGGTCCGACGGTTCCTCCTTGTATCCATGCTTGGAGGACCGTTTCACTTCTGACGCCAGTTGAAGTATGGGAATTGACGGCAGGAACTTCTTGACGGGTAACACACTTTTATTAAATCCTTTAGGTATCACAATACAACGTGTGGTCTCTCTTCTTCCTCCGACACACTCCACTAATCTCGTGTAAGCTCTAGGCCTCTGGCTACACCCGATACACTGGACTCGTGTAGACCCTATGCCTCTGGCTACACACAATATACTCGACTCGTGTAAGCCCTATGCCTCTGGCTACACAATACACTCGACTCGTGTAAGCCCTATGCCTCTGGCTACACAATACACTCGACTCGTGTAAGCCCTATGCCTCTGGCTACACAATACACTCGACTCGTGTAAGCCCTATGCCCTGGCTACACATAGTACATTCGGCTCGTGTAGACCTATGGCTACACCCACTACACTCGCCTCTGGGTTACACAGAGTCCCGGTCCCCTTAGGACAGCGGGGCTAGGTACCGCAGGGCTCTAGGTCTTCATCCCCGTCTTCCTTCTTCGCTGGTTACACACTGCCCTTACGCCTGTGTGCATCCCCTTTTATAGCCCCTGCTCACGAGGGACGGAGCTGATGCGGCGTCGACGTGAGCGTCGTTCCTTAATGACCCAATCACGACGCACTCTCTCTCAGCGCGTCACCGCCCACAGCCAATCGGTACCCCGTAACCCACGACCCCGCGCTGACCCCTGATCCTCCACCGTCAGCGCGCGTCACCACCTACACAGCCAATCATCACGCACTGTGCATACGATCCTTAATCCCAGCGCGTATCACCTCTACACATATAGCGTGATCTTAAGAATCAATATTCATAAAAAAAATCGGTGCATTGTTACACCCTCTCCAAAGTGTTTTAGGGTTGTGCCACGTGTTGTTCGGCATCATGTCTTACATTATGTCTGACGTTTTCCTCATATGTGCTTTGTCGAACATCGTGCCAAACAACATGCGGTAGAACCCACAAACGCATTGGAGAGCTTTGCAGCAACAACCGCCGTTCAACACTACTTAGCGGTGACCTCACCAAGGCCCTTGTGCCATGCTCCGTGCACTTTGAGGCCACGTGAAGTGTTGAAAGCCTGCTGGTAGGAGGTCACGGAACAGACCCAGGTGCCATGGGTTGACTGACTGAGAAGACTGGCCGATTCACCAACTGTGTTCCCCACCGTGCCAACCTTCTGCATTTTAACCGCCCGGTGCTCTGCTCGTTGTTGTGAGCGTCACTCCTCTGGCCAACATTGTTTCTGGAGGGCTACTGCCTCTATTCCCTAGTCGCGTCCTTCACAAACCTCCTTCAGAGAAGCCGATCTTGACACTGCTGGTACCTCATACCGTGAAAGCATATGTAGAATCATATTCTTGGTTCTTTCGGTAAAGTCACGTAGAAGGGAAATAATAAAATAATAAAAATAAAACATAATAAAAATTCTCACGACGTTTCGATTGCAACACAAGCAATCATCATCAGGTGTGAAAACCACAGCAATATTTTGTTTTAGTTTTCACACCTGATGATGATTGCTTGTGTTGCAATCGAAACGTCGTGATAATTTTTATTGTGTTTTATTTATACTATTTCCCTTCTACGTGACTTTACCGAAAGAACCAAGAATATGAATCCCTGCAGTCACAAAAGCTTTAAATCGAAAAATATGTAGAATCGTTACACTCACTCCTCATATAAATTGTGTGCAAGTGTATAATTCAGGGCCTCTTGAGGTTGACATTCAACTTCAGAAAGATTTACTGGAAGGTATTTAACATAAATGAAATAATAAACAATCTCTTGCCACAGGAGAAGGTAATAAACATGACTATTTGTGCTTGGAAATATCATCCTGGCCACCGGGGTGTTTACCCATAACAATAACAGCATAGCCAACTCTGAGGACATTGAAGTTTAGTGAACTCAACACAGAGTGATTTCACGTGAGGAAAATTCGATTTCTGGGGCAGCTGGGGGCTGTTCTGCTCGGACAGATGGACGTTGAGACATTGACAAGAACACAATTCGACAAAGGTTCTGTAGCATCTGTTTCTCATTATAATTGTAAAGGTGCAGCCCTTTAATTGCGTGCTCACCAGAGGGAGCTCTTAAAAGAGACTTTAGAGGGTATTTTGGAAAGTGCTGTCCCTCATTTTGCTGACCATATATGTATGTTGAACTTTTTTCGCACTGTACATAGCTAGAGGTTACTTGAAGTAATCTCAGAAAGTAGCTCTGTGCTAGCTGCTTCTGCAGACTGTCCTCTAACACAGGTTGGTCACACCGCTCTGGGAGAGCTCCAAACAGATTGTTCGTTTCACAACCTGACAGCGATAGCTGAATCGGGATAAATCTGGGGGAACACATTTTTTCGGATTTATTTTACTACTATCAGGTAAACAACACGATGCAATCGTACAACTGCAGAATTTTCTGTGGCTGTACAACAATTATGACGAGGGGCGCAACGCTCGTACCCAGTTCTCGGTCTTGCGACCCTTGCGTTCCAGGCGGGACTGCAGCACCTCCCCAAGGCCCCCGGGCCGCGCCAGCTCGGCCACCAACTTGCGCGTGTACTCCAGCTCCTCGGGCGTCACCAGCGGCTCCAGCACACGCAGGTAGCGCTCCAGGGTCTGCTTGAGAGGCGGCACCGGCAGACGCGGCAGAGAGGAACCGTCCGCGGAGGTGCTGGGGCTTGGGCTTGGGTCTGGCCCTGGTGGCAGAGGACAGCAGGCACGCAGTTCGTTTTAAAACAGTGTGCAAGCGCAAAATACTTTTAATAGACAGGTAGTGTGTAATCGTGACAATAAGAAACGTCAGATATTTGATATATACTAGCCTATAGCCCAGGGGTCCTCAAACTACGGCCCGCGGGCCACATGCGGCCCGCCGAGGACATTTATCCGGCCCGCCGGGTGTTTTTGCCGCCGCTGCCTGTCTGTTACTTTTTTTCTACATGAGAAGGACGGTCATTGGTGGAAGAGGGAGAGGGGGCGGAGTTCCCCCAATCAGACTGCATTGATGGGCAGTGCAGTCTGTATGTCTCTGTGTGGGCAAAGTTATTGCTGGTATATTGTTTTTGTAGCACTATATATATTGGTATTTTACTAATAGCAATCTTGACTCCCTAGGAAACAATGATGTCAAGAAAGAGAAAAATTGACTCGGAGTGTAGGATATTCAAAGAACAGTGGACTTATGATTACTTCTTCATGCAGTACAAGGAAAGAGCTGTGTGTCTGATATGCCAGAATATAGTGTCTGTGTTCAAAGAATACAATTTACGTCGACACTATGAAACTCAACATAAAGATAAATATGATTGTTTGGTCGGAGAAGTGAGAAAAGATAAAATATTAAAACTGAAAAATACATTAACAACTCAGTAAAATACTTTTGTGAAGCAGAAGCAGATAAATATTTCATCACTGCGAGCAAGTTTTCAAGTTGCCAAGCTAATAGCGTGCACTGGCAGACCATTCGTGGAGGGAGGATTTATTAAAGAATGCCTTCTTTCTGTTGCCAAAGAGATGTGTCTAGAGAAGGCCGATTTATTTAGTACAGTGAGTCTTTCAGGACCTACAATTACACGGAGGATTGAAGAAATGGGAGACAATTTGCATCAGCATTTGCAAAACTCCACACAAAAACTTTCCTATTTTTCCTTGGCACTCGACGAAAGCAATAATGTTCGTGATTCTGCACAACTTCTAATTTTTATTCGTGGGACGAATGACTATTTCGAAGTCACAGAAGAGCTTGCTGCACTGCAAAGCATCAAAGGAACATCTACAGGAGAGGATATCTTTCGATTTAAAGCTTTCGTGACTGCAGGGATTCATCTTCTTGGTTCTTTCGGTAAAGTCACATAGAAGGGAAATAATAAAATAATAAAACATAATAAAATAATTCTCACGACGTTTCGGCCACAACACAAGCAGCCGTCCTCAGGTGAAAACCAGGTCTGTCGGGGAGACAGCGTCTGAATGAAACAGCACACGAGCTTGGAGCATATATAAGTTGGGTTGGAAACGGGGGAAAGAGCGCCTTGACAAAATAATTTGCATATCAAGAGGAATTTAGCATATTTATGGGAAATGCAGGAATGTGATTAGTACTATATATGCCCGTGCTGCATATGTAGTACTAATAACATTCCTGCATTTCCCATAAATATGCTAAATTCCTCTTGATATGCAAATTATTTTATTATGTTTTATTTTGATTATTTTATTACTTCCCTTCTACGTGACTTTACCGAAAGAACCAAGAAGAGAGGGTATCTATGAAAAGGTTTGCCAAACTGTGAATAGTTTGGAGCTGAACTGGGCTAAACTAGCCAGTGTGACAACTGATGGTGCTCCTAGCATGGTGGGGTCTAAGAAAGGAATAATTGCTAGCATTAACCAAGAGATGGACAAACATAACCATTCTCATCCAATAGCCATACACTGCCTCATCCACCAACAAGCGCTGTGTAGTAAATCACTGAAGTGGGACTCTGTTATGAAAATTGTAGTATCTTGTGTTAACTTCATTAGAGCTCATGCACTAAACCACAGACAATTTCAGGAATTTCTGTCTGAGCTAAATGTTGACTATGAAGATGTTTTGTATCACATAGAAGTCCGTTGGCTGAGTCGAGGGAGAGTTTTGAAACGTTTCTATGACTTACTTCCACAGATTACAGCTTTTCTGCTTTAAAAAAACAAAGAAGTACCAGAGCTCAATGATGCAGAATAAAAATGGCACATTGCCTTTCTGACAGATGTAACAGAGCTACTCAACAGTTTCAATGTGCAACTTCAAGGAAAGGGGGAGCTCATCTGTGATATGCAATCACATGTCAAAGCATTTGAAGTAAAATTAGGCCTCCTCATCAAACAAGTGAAGGAGGAAAACTTCTGCCATCTCCCCAAAACTCAAAATCTGTTAGCGGAAAAACCATTGGTTGCATTCCCAAACAAAACATGTGTGGATTCACTGGAAAAATTGCAAAAGGAGTTCCAATTTGGATTTAAAGAGCTTCATCTCCATGAACAGGACATAAGCTTTTCCGTAATCCATTTTTTATTGACATTGAAAATGTGGATACAATTTACCAAATGGAACTGGCTGAACTGCAGAATTGTGACTCTCTGAAAGACGCATTCATGTCAAGCAGCCTTCATAATTTCTATGCATCTCTCCCCTCTGAGACATATCCTCATCTCAGAAACCATGCACTCAAAATTGCAACCATCTTTGGCAGCACTTATGTCTGTGAACAGACTTTTTCCAGAATTAAACATTTGAAATCTCCAACCAGATCTAGACTAACGGATGCACACTTGCATCACTTGTTACGACTAGCAGTGACAAATATGGAACCGGACATTGACCATCTCATTAGCCAAAAGCAGGCCCATAGTTCCCATTGAAATACTGACAAGTTTGTTGATTTAACTTTACTTGTTCTTCATTTTAAATATTGTATTTGTTCCCGTTTTGTTTCTTCACTTCAAAATAAGATATATGCAGTGTGCATAGGAATTTCTTCATAGTTTTTTTTTTTACTATAGTCCGGCCCTCCAACGGTCTGAGGGACAGTGAACTGGCCCCCTGTTTAAAAAGTTTGAGGACCCCTGCTATAGCCCATCCAAGGATGGACGTATTGCAGTAAATCTGAAAAAATGCAATCGAAAATAATGTTCCGCTCATGAGTATTATTAATGGTAGCGTTACGGAGTTAGCGTGACATCAGGGTTCTCGCTTTTTATATATATTAATAATTATATATTAGGATAACAAAGACCAATATACACATTTCAAGGTGTGCCAATGCACAATTGAGAATTCAGTGATGCTCATACGTTGTTGGTATCCCTGAGACAGTGATTGAAGTTCCACATGGTCAGGATCAGTCAATCGCAAAGACAACCACTATTATCCTTTCACAGGGTGGTTTTTATTTATGGACCCCACCCCCAGAGAGATGACAAGTTGAGTCAGCCCCTGAAGAAGATTTTGAATTGTGACCTTTCAGCTGTGAGTTGAGTCTTGCAACCAGCTGAATTATGACCTGTTTACCAACACCAAAAATATGCCTTCTCGTGGGACTCACAGGCACTAAGCTGCAGTTATCAGAGTGGGAGCAATTGCCTCTTACTCAGACCCTTGCCCTCTGAGCCATGTCCTTGACAGTCCAGTCTGTATCCCCCTCTTGTAAAGTAGGGTAGCAGAGCAAGTAGGTTATATCAGACTATCTGTGTGGAGTTTCAGACTTTTTCACTTGAATGTATGAGTTTTCTCTGAAAATTCTATTTCCTCCAAATAAATCAATACAAAAATATAATTGGAAAAAAAATAGAAAAGTGGTATAAGGTAAAGGTGTAACCCTGCAATGTTCTTGCTCGTGCCGCTGCTGACACAAAAGCCTACTCTTCCACATTGGTCAGACAACTTGTAAGAGGTACCCACACTTCACCCCACCGCAGTCTAACTGCCAACCCACTATATTCTTGGTTCTTTCGGTAAATCACGTAGAAGGGAAATAATAAAAGATTTTATTATTTCCCTTCTACGTGACTTTACCGAAAGAACCAATAATATGAATCCCTGCAGTCACGAAAGCTTTAAATCGAAATGCCAACCCACTGTTTCGTACCCATTTATACTGCTGGGTGGACAGAGGCATGGGGTTTTAAAAAACTTGGACCACTGTTTCATCTGCCACGATAGGAGAATCAACACGGTGACCTCTGGATTACCAGTCCAGTGTCCTGCCCGTTACACCGCGGCAGAATCCCAACGATAATTGTGGCTGTCTTTCAGTAATGGCTTCATCAGCCTGCCGTACATAAACACAACAATTATCACACCCCCACAGGTGGCTAATGATTGATTTTCTTACCCAGCAGGGGACCACCAGAAAAGCAGCGGCTTGGGGCTTCATGGTCCCTGTGGCTGCTGCTGCTGTTGCTGGGAAGGCACGCGACAGTCGGCTGTCCATAGATCCTCAGCCCGTTGAGTGGCCTTGCCTGCGCGGTTACATAAACAGTTTCAAACACACACATTTAACTCTCCCGTGCGCTTCCGAGTCGTGCTGCCCGTTTGATCGGCACGATGTCCAACGTTTCGTGCTGGTGACTCTTTCGATTCAGTGTTTGGAAGAAGCTCCCAGGAAATTTGGTTCCTAATTGTCCACTATCACGACGAACAGCACGTGGTCAAACCTGAAAACACACTGGGCAGGTACACAGCACAATCACAAAAACCTATGCAGCAGTACACACACACACACATTTTATATTATAAGTTGACTCAGAGGTCAGAACACTGAGTTGGCACCTGTGAGACTCTGCATTTAAAACCGGTTTCTCAGCCTGATCATCACCTGGTCACCGATGACTGCAAACAAACAAACCATCGTGTTCTATTTGGCTGTGTTGATTCATTTGACGAAATTCCAGTTTTTTATTGACAAAAAATGTATACCCGTTAAACTGCCATGAAACAATCTCATAGCAGAGTGTTTTCAAAGGTGTGCACCCTACTTTGTAAAGTATAAAAAGGACGTTTGATGGATGATTTTTGGAGAAGCCCTGTAATAAAACGAAAGTGCAGCCATTCTTCGACACTGGATGATGCACTGCTCTGCAAGATTTCGGAATAGATTTTTCCATCTTATAACATGATGCTGGTAGCACAAAAGGAATACATTTGTGAGTAGAACAACACTTCAAATACAATAAAAAAAAACACTTTCACGGTTTATATCTGTACAATTCAAGTGCGGTTGCTATGCGCCTCAGAGGATCCCCAATGATACAACACGGATGAGAAGCAGGGCTTCAATACAGGTTCTGAACACTCATGATTAAACAAAGCTTATCAATTGCAGCAAGTTGATGTTCTCAACAGTCAACAAAAAATTGCGTTACATTTTGTTGGCATTTTGCAGCTCTGAATCAAAAGAAAAAAATGTTTATGTGCTGGGCAATGTTTGCAGAGGGTTAAAGGTGCACTATCTGTACAAGAGAAGACTGGCTTACTTGAGTGCTATTGGGGTGCCTTTGGAATGGATGTCATTTTGCAGAGCTGTTCTCTGACACATTGATCGCTGAGGAGAGTTCTGAATACAAGTCACTTTGTCCCACACCACAGAATCGAGGCATCGATTGTCGCGGATAGATTTGGTCTGATCAATGGTACTGTAATGTATACAGATAAGCTGTGTACAGGGACAGTGAACCTGCATCATGTGATCTCGATCATCTCTTGTTACAGTTGCGCTTCAAGAGGATTCCAGCTAAGACACCTTTTCCCAACTCATCCGCACAAACAGGTACCTACCCCAATCTAGATTTGAAGTTTTCGTGACTGCAGGGATCCATACTCTTTGGTTCTTTCGGTAAAATCACGTAGGTAGAAAAATAAAATAAATTGAATCACGACGTTTCGGGCGCAACACAAGCGTCCGTCATCAGGTGGGACAACCACAGCAAGAAACAACTGCTGACTTTACGTGATTTTACCGAAATAGCCAAAGAGTAAGGTACCTACCCCACCCGGCATTTGAACTCACACACAGCCGCTTGCATATTTAGTCATATTTCAGCCATATATAAAAAAATTATACATACTCTGCAATGCAAGGTGTTGTGATTTCACTAAGTTATAAACAAAACTATTAATAAACTGGAGTCGGTCGCGCATGCTTTCTATTGGTTTTCCCAAACTTGAAAATAAAGTACTGAATAGTTTAAATTATTGACAATGCAATGTTTCATGCAAACTTAATTCGAAAATAAATAAATACTGAAATTCTGTAAGGCCCTAAATGTGAATTGTTTGCGTTTGGATTCTAAAACATGATTAACAAGTGCATTCTGCAAAATTATAAACATTCAGATGAATATTTTCCTCGAACTCGGTCTATACCAAAACTTTTTGCATCCCCAAATGTTATGGAGTTGTAATTTTTGGAGGTCCAAATTCATAACATTATAGTTATAGTTCAGAATAGACTATCTTTACCAAATAGCATTTTTCGAGCCTTTCTATATACATCATTACCATTTATAATACTCAATAAATATTTGGTTTTGAAATTACACTGATAGAAGAATAAAAAGAGGAACAAGTGTATTTCAAAACATACGAAGGCTAAAAACATCATTAAAACTCTCAAGAAAAATAAGTGGGCATGACACGTTGCGAGAAGGGATGGCAGGTGGTCAAGAATAAAACTTGAATAGCAGCCAATGGATGGAAAGCATCGAAGAGGATACCCACCAATGAGATGGAACGAAGAAATCACAGCTGGTATGCCAGCACATAGCGGAATTTTATTACATCGTGTAATTACGGGAGGTGGCGGCCGCTTTGAGAAGGAGTTTCATCTCATGATGGTTATTGGCAAAGGCTCATGATGACGATTTCAATGTGTGTATACACTGCAAGGACTGAGGTTGCTCAGTTGGTAGGGTAGCAAGCTCTTGTTTATTAAGTCGTCGATTGTTTGTTTGAATTACACTGCGGTGTCTTTCTGTGACGTACAAGTTCACACGATGGTAGATTGAAAACTAATTTATTTAGAATTATGTTTACTTTGTTGTCCTTCCCCCACACCTACGATTTCCACGGTTGGCAACGTACGGTGCGAAAGAAGTCCAACATACATAAATACACGACTTAGTAAATATTTCTCAGTGGTGGGGAAATTTCGTACGATCTTGAGCACCCCTATGTGGGAAATGAACAGCAGTTACTCTCTCAGAGAGGCGAGTCCCTGCCAAATTAAATGTGGAATTTCCAACGCCGGTTCAAGATGAGCAGCGCCTGATACTTTTCTGGGTATATGGAGACATACTTAGCTTTTAATATGTGTCTATATATATACTGTGGACCGTATCATAATTAAACATGACGTGGGGACATGAGGGACATGTGGCACAAAAAAACTAATTCAACCGTTTCTTACAAGCAACATCTTATACATTTCCACAAAACAGCAGAACTATTACCCGCAACTCATATTTTATCTGTGGGAGCTGTAGGGTCTGCAGATACTCCTATTATCCGTGCACTATTCTTAATATTTTTAATATTTATCCACGTTTATTCCCATCCCATATTGCAGAACAACTTCCTATTATCCGAATTGTTTGTTTGCTATAAAGTTTTTAATAAATTAGCAGACATCACAGAAAATAGGATCTGCAATTTTTGCCCCCTACGTCACTACAAAAATTAGAAGTTATACTACATTTCTGACATAAAATCTACGCAATAAAATACCATTTACCCAGGGCCATTTGCGCATTTAGTATTAAGGTCCCGGGTGGATCTTTTCATAGGAGATGTTTGTTGAAAAATATCACTGGGAAATTATTTGATACAACTCAAAAAACGTGAAAGTATTTTTGTTGCAACAATCTAGAAGTTACGATGCTTGGGGTCTGGAGTTTAGCTGTGGAGATGACTGTGCGTATGCGGTACACACATCCCACACGTTGGCTTTGCGCACGGGCAACTATTTTTACCATTTTTTTTTGGCGAGCAGATTTGGTTGGCTGACAGCTCTTGGTGTCCAGTAACAACTAATCACCCATCCCGATCAAGTGTTCCCTCCTAGTTAAATATAACCATGAGTTAGGTCAGGAAACCTGTAAACAATGACAAAATAAGACAGATGGAGAGAGGGCTGTGTCACTGTGGACACTGTTTGTACCTGGCAGTTACAATGAAAACTACATACATATATAGAGGCCTGGCATTTGACTTTGTTTTTTTTTTCTGAAACTGGTCAAAGTTTATTTACGAGCGAGTTCTTGACATTGTAAAAGTAACGACCATATTTGGAGACACTCATTGAGGAAGTTTGTAGCTGACTTACAGCTAACAGGAATGTGACTGCCAATTTTGGTTTCCATTCTGTCATAAAAGTGAGTTTCCATTCCAATAAAACAACCATGAACCAGATTTTGTAACCACAGTATAACAAATATATGAACATAAACACTACGATATTTAGACAGATTAATTTGCTATCAACGTGTTCCTGTACTTTTCTCGCTGTCTATTGAGTTTGTTACATAATAAATGTATTACATTTATCTGATTAGCCAAGGAAAGTATCTTTTTTCTCCATTATCCATGACTGCGAGCATAGTCCCCCCATTAAAAATGAAGTCGAGTTGCATGAATGTACCTTGGTGACATTCAATACTACTGGCGCGTGGACTGAATACATGGCTTGTTTTGTTGCCACCAGATCAATAGGGTTTCTATTTCAACCACCCTTGGAAAAACTTTACATGTATCAGTATCTGCTGTCGAGAATTTGCCCAACATTCTAATGCAGTGCCATTCTAAAGAAGTTCTGTGACACAAAGGCTTTTCTGGATAAAGGGTATATTTAGATTATTGTCTTTTATTTGAGTTTTTTTTTCATTTTAGCTATATTGCGAGTGTAGTTATGATTATCAGCTTTCACTGTATTTCGATTGGATTTTACCTATACAGAACTTGGGAGTGTGTTTTTTTCTAATGTACAGCGTTTAGAGATATTTCATTATGAAAAGGCTCATCATGAAATCAAGATTATCATTATTCATGATCCGCTGCAGAACGAATGCTTCCCCCACGCCGCATCGATCATACTTCGCCATGCTGGTCAGCTATAGTTGGTAACAGGCAGAAGTGGGGAAGGTCAGGTCTGGCCATGGCCAGGAATCACATTTACGTTGCACGGTTTATAATGCAGTGGCTTATAAAAATAACAATAATTAACCACACACTCGCGGTAAATCTTCCTGGCAACAACAAAAATATCCAAAGGTAACACAAATCTGAGCCGGAGACGAGCTATGTGCATTGTGAAGAAACCTAACACAGCCATAAACAACAGGACGAGTTTGAAATTCTGTGCCATATTTTTTTCTAAAATGCCAACAATGGCTCAGAGGACCACATTTTGATATCCGCTTAAAATATTCCTATTACTACACATATACACCGTAGAGTTTGCCCAATTGCTACTGGAGCCGAACCATACGAGAGAAAACAAGATGACGCAATGGTTGTTTTTTGCATCGTGTAACCAAGAGGCTTGTGAATGTCTCAAGAACATCCCTTCCAGCCACCCCCACGTAAGATGAAACATTCCAAAAGGTCGCAGGTGCAGGCCGTTGTTGCTATGGCCCTCAAGACTTTTGCAGCGGACTGCACCAATGTCCGTATTGTAGATGGGGAGGGAGGAGGTATTATGGAGATGAAATGCATATCCCCTTCCATTATTTCCCCACGTAAAGGTCGTTTCTCAAGGATAGGCGTGTTTGGGCGTGATAGTGAGTGGGTCCTTCCAGAAACAGAATGTGCAGCAGCAGCAAGGGGATACCAATCTGGCAGGGCTGCACCATCGCAGAATGTGCATGCGAGGCACCCGAGGCAAATGTTTGCGCGTAGATCAAAATGCACGGTGCTAACTGGGGTTGCTGTCAAAACGCGATGACGACGACGACGACAATTTATTATTGTGTCAAGGGCAGCGAGGACTTTTGTGAGCAGGAAATACAAAAGGGGGGGAGGAAGACAAAAACAACACAACACAGCTGTTATCGGGGCATGCAAAAGGCGAAAGATGTCTCACACACACAGCGTCTTGCAACATTGATTGCGTTGGGGGTAGTGGGTTGCACGGTGGGTGGCACAGTGAGACAATCTAACGGTGATCACAGTGACAGGCAGTGTATGTCCCCCACACACCCTCGCAACCACGAGCATTGATAACAGTTCTGAAACCCACAATTAGCCCGGGCACACAACATCATCATCCGCCCAATGCACGCTTTGAATCGTTACGAAACGACGGCGTAAGACGAAGCACGCACCACGACTTACCACTGTAATTCTCAGAAGAGACAGCATCTTCTCGTCACGTCGGCTCGTCAAGAGAGCGAGACGAAGGAAAGGGATGGTGACTGATGATGACGATGGGAAGAAGAAGAAGACGACGAAGCTTTTGCTTGCTTGCCTTGGCCCCTTCGTTGTGGTTTGTTTTATTCTTCAACGCTCGCATTGCAGCTCGCTGGCCTGCGCTGGTGAACGCCGATTCGCCACGGGACACGACATGACAGCACCGTCAACAACACCACCACCACCAACAACAACAACAACCACCACTGGGCAGAAGGGGACACACGGGACACGCGTGTGTGGGTGTCACCGTGTGTCAAGGCAAAGGGGGAGGGGCAAGGCGAGTTGGCTCCTCCCCCCGTGCATTACAAGCCACGCCCACATCGCTCGCCCCTCCCACCAATGCCCTTCAACAACGGTGGGCCATGGCTAAGGAAAGGCAATTCGAAACTTAATTGAGACCTTTATTTCGTGATTGACCGGTAATAAAGTATGGGGAAATAAGAGGGTTTTTTTTTACCCCTCTGCGAGGAATCATGTCTGCATTAACCACACGTAATTGTATGATGGTGAACGTGCAAGCAAAACATGCTCTTCTTGAATTTCGATTTAAAGCTTTCGTGACTGCAGGGATTCATCTTCTTGGTTCTTTTGGTAAAGTCACGCAGCCTGGTGGTGCCCATTCAGACGCTGTCTTTTCGACAGACCTGTTCTTCACCTGAGGACGGCTGCTTGCGTTGTGGCCGAAACGTGAGAATGATTTTATGTATAATTTTTATTATTTTATTATTTCCGTTCTACGTGACTTTACCGAAATAACCAAGAAGATGCTCTTATTTCGGTAAAGTCACGTAGAAGGGAAATAATAAAAATAAGAATTTTATTTTATTATGGTTTATTTTTATTATTTTATTATTTCCCTTCTACGTGACTTTACCGAAAGAACCATGAAGATGAATCCCTGCAGTCACGAAAGCTTTAAATCGAAAAACATGCTCTGATAATTAATATTGTCTTTGAAACTGTTCGGTCTGTACCAGACGTTCGCCGTTCTCTGGGTTGACACTGGTGAGACAAGGCCCTAAAGAAGGCTGTCTCTGGTGTAAGCCAATCAGTGTAAAACAAACAATGCCTTATATAATTACACTTATATAACACAATTATTGTTCCTGGATAGTAAGCGTTATTTCCTAATTGATTATGCCTCAAACGTACAGAAAATGGCGATTATTCCCCACAAACTTTGATTTTGTGACCAGGACAGTGATATTTTGAATTTACCTATTTTCAATTTGGGAGAATTTGTGTATTTTTGTTCATATACAGTCAGGAAAAAATATATGAATCAAAACGAACATGTATTTATGCTAAAGTAATACAAAAATGAGTACAAAAGATTTAGAAGTGAATAATTTTTCGAGATTTACGATTCTACTGTAAATCACTTTTACGAATCAGCTCCCAAATGTAGTCTCATGTTCTCGTTATACTGTCCTTGGTAACGGCGTTCAAAGTCCAGTATATCCTGGTGGAAGCGCTCGCCTTGCTCCTCCAAGTATACGCTCCCATGTTCTCCTTGAATTTGTCAAGATGAGCATCAAGCATATGGACTTTGAGGGACATCCTACAGCCCATTGTGCCGTAGTTCTTCACCAGAGTCTCAACCAGCTCCACATAGTTTTCGACCTTGTGATTGCCCAGGAAGCCACGAACCACTGCGACAAAGCTGTCCCAAGCCACTTTCGCCTTACTAGTGAGCTTCTTGGGGAATTCATTGCACTCCAGGATTTTCTTTATCTGTGGTCTGACGAAGACACCGGCTTTGACCTTTGCCTCAGACAGCTTAGGGAAGAAGTCTTGAAGGTACTTGAAGGATGCCGACTCCTTATCTACAGCTCTGACAAATTGTTCCATAAGGCCCAATTTGATGTGCAGTGGTGGCATCAGCACCTTCCGGTGGTCCACCAGTGGCTCCCACTTGACGTTGTTCCTCCCCAAAGAGAACTCGGTCCACTGTGGCCAGTCCCGTCTGTGGTAATGCGCCTTGGTGTCCCTACTGTCCCAAAGGCAAAGATAGCAGGGAAACTTGGTCAAACCGCCTTGGAGACCCATCAGGAATGCCACCATTTTGAAGTCTCCGGTGACCTCCCAGCCATACTCATCATACTTCAAGGCGTCCAGCAAGGTCTTGATGCTGTTGTAATCCTCTTTGAGGTGCACCGAGTGAGCCAGGGGAAGAGACGGGGTACTTGTTACCATTATGGAGCAGCACGGCTTTGAGGCTCCTGGATGAGCTGTCAATGAAGAGACGCCACTCATTCTGGTGACAGGCTATTCCGATTGCCTCGAACAGACTGGTCCATTGTGGCAGAAGCAGAGCCTATCTTGACGGGTGAAGAAGCTGCAAAAAGGTTGGTGACGCTTCCTATGATCTGCGAGTTGGCACACTTTCATCCAACAAGTTCCACTGCTTGAGCCTAGACGTCAAAAGCTCGGCATTGGACTTGGTGAGACCAAGATCCCTGATCAAGTCGTTGAGGTCTTTTTGGTTGGGGTAGTATGAGTTTCTCTCCTCAGCTCCACCTCTGAAATTGTCATCTGGATCTACAACGTCTTCCTCCCTCTCTCTTCTAAAGATGGCTGTTCTCTCTCCGGAGGAGTGGGTATGGGGAGCTCATGGCAGTGTGGCACCGGGGTGATGGATTAAGGAAGGTCCGGATACGTGATAGCTGGTGCATTCCTGCCAGTCCAACGTTTGGAAGGGTTCGCTATGCAAAAGTAGCAGTTGCTTGAGTGGTCAGTGGGTTCCTGCCAAATTCTTGGGATAGTTAACTTCATGGCTCTCTTTTCCCCTCTGTACCATCCTACAAAAATACATTTATTTCACCCATGATTAATGTGTAAGAGATTCTCGCAACATTTTTCATATATGATATATATTTTTTCAATAACATTGAAAATTGTAAAACATTTTAAAATAAAAACACTTTTACAGTTTAAAAATTGTAACACATTTTATAACATAAAATTCCAAGTAACAATTGTCCATCTTACCTTCCAGACTTTTTTTGCATTGCTCGCAGGTGAAATGAGGTGCAAAGGGTTTGTCTTGATCCCCTACAGGCATGCCGAAAAATGCCTTGTAGGCCTCACACATCTTAGCAGATGCTTCCTCAGAGTACTTTTTCGCTCGTCTTCATAAATTGGTCGCAGACATAGCAAAATGCGTCTGCCGGATGCTTGCAGCCTCTGGATGTCATCTCATAAAAATTCAAATATGTGTCCACTTAGCAGCTGGAACTAAACTTAACTGGTGGGCTTAAGGCCCCTGTATTTATACTACTATTGATATTACTGGAAAGTTCTATACTGTTCCAGAAGTTACTCCAAGTTTACTCAGCACTGAATCTATCTGGAATGTTCTGGAAAATAGGTACATTTCAAAATATCAATGTCCTGGTCACAAAAGCAAAGTTTCTCGGGAATAACAGTCATTCTCTGTACTGTTGAGGCATAAGCAATTAGGAAATAACACTTACTACCCAGGAACAAAAGAAATAAAAAAATGTTACACTGTTATAAATGCATGTTTTGTTTGCATGTTCACCACACAATTACGTGTGGTTAATGCAGATATGATCCCTTGCAAAAGGTTTATCTTTGGTGTTTGATCATCTTAACACCTCTTCTTGGTTCTTTCGGTAAAGTCACGTAGAAGGGAAGTAATAAAATAATAAAAATAAACATAATAAAATATTATGTTTTATTTTTATTATTTTATTATAAAATAAAACATATTTTATTATGTTTTATTTTTATTATTTTATTACTTCCCTTCTACGTGACTTTACCGAAAGAACCAAGAAGATGAATCCCTGCAGTCACGAAAGCTTTAAATCGAAATCTTAACACCTGTTTTATTGCCAGAGAGGGTTAAACCTATTCTTATTGTTTCACACGATTTGGCACTCTCTCGCCAGAACCGCACCGCTGTGCCCAACTTACAACGGGAATTGGCCACCCCAACCCCGGCGTGTCCAAAGGACATTGGTGGTGTGGCCGTTCATAGCCAAGTTGCTTCTTCTTCTGCCGGTGTCGCGGCGAGCTGATGGAAACAGCCTAACCTTGAGAATTTAATCCACGCGTTTAGCGGCAGCAGCTATTATTATTGCTGCTGCAGCAGCGCACAGCAAGCCACTCTGCGTGGCTGTGGAGTTTAATGCCATTATATTGACGTGTGCTGTCCGTTAGACGTAAGCCTGCACGTCCGGTCATTTGCGACCAGGTCGCTTCTGAAAAATAAGTTCACACCTTAGTGGGTTTTACTGGGTAAGATGTAAAAAAGAAAAGTCCAGCTGTATTTGTATGCTTTTAAGTGATTTTTTCACCTTACTTTGCACACCTATCATATTTTTGTATCGTAACGTTTTGACCCACCCTACTTACATCTGTGAAAAAGAGCTTTACAGCTCGTCGGATTCCTCCAGTATAAATATTCTGATTCTGATCTCAGTCATGCACAGGTGGTGCATCCGCAAGTCATCGTCGTCACTCAACCCATGGCACTTGCACCTGTCCACTGCCCTGCCAGCGATCCTTTGACACTTCACGCGGCCTCAAAGTGCACCTAGCCTGGCACAAGTGGTGTGGTCACATCACCGACACTTAGTGGCGAATGGCGGCTGTTGTTGTCCAGGGCTGGACTGTGTTTCCCACTCGTGTACCTATCGTTGGCTCTTTGACTCATTTGGCTCTCTGTTTGACTCACTGTTGTTGACCTTATATCTCGTGATGCTCTGTAGAAACAAACATTATCATGTTTAGCCACATATTCTGGCTGTACGGGAATATATTTTACAACAACACACTAAGATGTGCATTGCATTTGCAGCAGTTCAGTTATACGCATTAGCGTGACCTCAAGTTCATGACAAGTGCGTTGTCATTGAGTTGTTAAATATAAGGTGTGCTGGTCTGGCCTGCAACCATTTTCTGTTGTGATGGGGTTTCTCGTACATTTTCAAGTTTGAAATGATTCCATTAAGAGGCAGAGGACATAACAAAAAATTCTAGAGTTACGTCAATCTGCTGTTAGATGAAGGCAAGAAGACCTCCCCACTGCTTCATGTAATGAGCAGTTGTTTGACCATACTTCACCACACCAGTCATTATAGATTGGTGAAGCTGGACTTTAGACTAGTTAAGTTATCATTGATGTTAGCTGTGCTCAGGACTTATCCTGGAAGCCACTGCTCACCCCCTCCATCAACTTGTGGGAATAAAAAAACCTGTTTGTATTCAAAAGGGTTGAGTAATTTAACATTCCCTGAATCATAATTGCTTATAAGAATAGGCCTTACCCTTTTTTGCAATAAACAGGTGGTAAGATATTCAAACACCAAAAAGATATCTATTTCAAGGAATGTATTTGGTGTTTGAACATCTTAACACCTGTTTTATTTCCAGAAACGATAATGCCTTTTCTTTTTTTCACCGTGTTGATACTGGCAAAAGGTCCCCAATATATAATTGCTGATCTTACATAATAGCTACTTGTTTTTGTCTTGTAATGAATAAACTGTAAAGTATTTTTACAGTCGTATCCCGAATAGAAGTCTAAATGCATTTATTTGACGGAATGTAAAATATGTATTATTTAAGTAACACGAGTAAGTTAATACTTTTGTAAACACGTAAACATTTATCATCCTAACACCTAACAACTGTTATTCAAATAACACATTGGA